TGGTTCCGCGTACAGCCCGTGAAGGCCCGTGAAGGTTCCTGGGGTGAAAGCCGCTAAATTGGGAACCAGGAAATTTGGAAGACTGATGTTTTAAGGAGATGCTCCTAGCCCATGTACAGCTTAAAGTTATCAAATTCGGCCCTCAGGCATGCGTGTTTCTCATGTACGGCCTCGTGAAATTTGTTGGGGAGAAAACGGCTAACTCGGGAACCACGAAAGCTGGGAGGCTGAGATTTTAGGAGAATATTGGTCGTCCAAAATACAACTTAAAGATTTCAAATTCAGCCTCCAAGGGTTCAAAGTACTTTTCGTCTTTCCCTTCATGCATGTGGCATTCGAAATTCATCTTACACACAAGTTCACATCTCAAGTGTAGCTGTAACATTACTGATCCCTGTGTTGCTGTGTCACTGTCCAGTACATTAGACAGTAAGGGTGACTCTTTTAGTGAAATTAGTTCTGTAAATTTCCAATTAGTTTCCTTGCACGATAGCCACAAGTGTATCACTGTAAGCGCCGGAACATTCAGATTGTATGGCATCGATCAGAGATTTGCCATAGCTTTGCTCGTACTGCTGTCGGATGAGTGCTAAATCAACTTCAGAACGCGATACGATAATTCTGATCAGATCCTTATCATGCGTCCCAAAACCCTGTAAAAGTTCGGATGAAGTGCCGCAGCATTAACGTTAAAAAACAAGCTTCGAAACTTAAAATATCTTTTAAATTTAGATTTTAATTCATGGAACGCACGCAGTGTTGACTTTTGCATCCTAGAGATACTGCTTTTTGCAATAGCAAATATCTGCAATGGTAATTACGATGCAGAAATTACTAGCTAAAGCCTATCAGGCTGCCCGCAATGTCATCAATTTGCCGTCAAAACGAAACAACTGGTAGGGAAGATGAAACACGTGAGAAGGTGATGACCAGCTCGTTGACTAGGATACGACAGACACATAAAATAAGATAACTGCTTCAACAACTAGCTAGAAAAAGCAAAACTTAGTTCGAAAAACTAAATTAAATTAAATTTTAAACCATCGACAATCTTGCCAACAAGAAATCGACAATTTTTAAAGCAAGAAAAAACTATCCGCAATCCTGACAACAAAAAACCATCGACAATTTGTTGATGGTTTTTTACCACATGCTTCTCCTCCTGAGCGTCACTGCATTTCATAGAAAGTGACTGCGAAGGGAGTTTTGATTTTCCACTCGCAACATGTTCGGAATGCAGTTCTTGGGAAAATTTGTTGACCTCTGTCAATGACTGTAGCTAAACACTATGACCAAGACGGACAGTTTTGCACTGCATGCGGTTTAACAAATAAAGGATCAGAAAAGGAAAAATTTTTGCAAAACTGTTTTATATGGATGTCGGTTGTATACCTTCATGGCCTCATAAAGCTCGTAGGCGAAATATGCCGGCTGATTCTGAATATTCCTCACCAGTGCTATTAAGCCTTTCTCCGTATCACCACTGAATTCATTC